TAATTAGGATAATCATTGAGTTCTAACAGAATACTTAATTATTATATTTATAAAATGTTATATTATTAAACCAAAAATAAATTATTTTATTATTAAATTTAAATTAAATTATAATAAAAAAATAAATTAAATAAAAAATGAGAACAAGCCTAAATTCTTATTAGAACTTAAACTCGGAGGATGAAAATTTATTTCTGTTTTCATTTTTATATTAATCATTTAGTTTACACGAATATAAAATGAAGAGTAAATTACATTTTTCGGTAAAAGATTTGATTTTCGTCTCTATAGTTTAGAAATTGTGGTTTTAGTAGCTACGGTTTATAATTCATTGTTATTTTCATTCTTAAAATTTATAATTTATTGTTGTTTTGATCCCTTGTATTTATAATTCGTTATTATTTTGGTGCTTTGTAATTAAAGATAGGAATAAGTCAAGGGACGAAAATAACAATGAATTTTAAAATATAGGAACGAAAATTATAATTTTTTTTATTAACCTGGATATCCAACCCGTTATGCGAGCCGACTAATCTCAGGTCGACTACCTGTTTTGCAGATAGTCTGGAGTCACCGCATTTGAACCTTCGTGACTACAAAGGCATTTTTATTTCTCATTGGATTTAAATCTGGGATCTCCTACTACTTTTAATCTTTGGAGCCAAACTCAAACCAATCAAACACTGATTTAAAATATATATATATATATATATATATATATATATATAAAATTTATAAAGGAGAAGGATAAAAATCAAAATTATTAAGAGAACCCCAATCTACTTTAAAATGAAGGACCCAAGACTAACTTGGATTTTAAGGAAAGACTTTGGTTTCAATTATTTTGTTATATTATTATTTTATTTTTTTATAAAATACAAAAACAGCTTTCTTTTTCTTTGCGATTGGGAAATTTTGGCCATCAAACTACAAATAGAAAAGTGCATAGAACAAAATAAATGTAGTTATTAATTTATTTTCGCTTTTTCTTTACATAACAAATACATAAAATAATTAAGAAACCTGATAAAATAAATAAATAACTATATTCACGTTTTGCATACATCATTTTAATTCTATATTTTTTTGTTGCTATGATTTATTACAGAAAATAATTAGTTATTATACTTATTCATTACCGAAATATTATAATAATCAAATAAAAATTATTTTTCTAATTTGATATTATATATATTATGTATTTGAGGTTGTTTGTTTATGTTTTAATAGTTTCATTAAGAGTCAGTCTCTGAATCGTTAAGATGTGAACCTTGTTTGACAAAAAAAATATATGTCTTTTAATGGTTCTAAAACCCTCTAAATGATTTTATATCATATGTCTCTCTTAACCATTTAGCGTCCTAATTCCATTGTAAACAATTACCAAACAGTTATATTTCATTTTGCACTATATCATGAGAGTCTCTTAATCATCCCGACCACTTGATCATTTTGTATTAAACCAGCCAACAACTGTCAGACAGCCCCTGATTAACATGTAAGAGCATCTCCAATAGATTTCTCAAAATGGAGATTTTGTGAATTTTTGCTCCAACAGATGCAGCAAAACCTTCTTCAAAATGGAGAAAGTTTGAGAGATAAAATGAAATTCTCCAAATTTGGAGAGTTTCTTAAAATGATTACTTATGAGAGAAAAATAATTGTTTATTCATTCTACCAATGAGATTGCTTAAAATTAACTATTTTAGAAGAGAAAAATAATATTTTATGAGTTGTATTAAATATTTTAATAATATAATTAATTATGTAATCTCCAAAGTAAATAATATGTTGGAGATGAAAGTAATTTTTTAGACAATCTGTTGGAAATGTTCTAAAACTTATGAGAAATGCGAGAAAGGTCAAATCATATGTGATTTTGGAGTAAAATGACATGAGATACAAACACGTTGAGTTAACTAGCTATTGTATGGGGGAGTTCAATCAACCTTGGTCGCATTGAACAATCGTCTGCATCCTTCAGAATTTGTTGTTTCACATGTGATATTACTGTAGAATCAAATGTGAAATTTGCACTTATCGTACTTCTCATAAATTGACTAACTTCCTGCTTAATACTCACTCTATGTATATAC